ACAGATTAAATTAAGAGTAGCTTTAACCGATGAACATGTATACGTAGATATATGGATGTGAAAGAAGCGAGAGAGTTTAGTCAGGATCGTGTCAAATCGAAGACCACGGTCTCTGCCTACCTCTCTGGGCGACAGGGTTGAGAGTTTATGTATTATGTATGTATGTTATGTAACCCTGACCAACAGGTCAATCAAGGAATCCAATTTCTGGCTATTTAAAAATAAACATATTTCAGTAAAACTAAAATAACTGACTGTATCAGTAAGCTAAAAAAAATGGCAACGGACCGGCCATATAGAATAGAATAGAATATAATTAGACTTAACGACATCTTAAACATCTAGTTTTCTACCTATGTTATTTTTTGACGTGACCACGTCTTATAATTCGATGAAGCTGGCTGCACGCACGAAAAAACATGTCGCATGCGGCGTTACCTCGCTCTGAGGCGTTCCATTTAAGGTTTGAAAGTGCAAGCGAGAGCGCGGAACGAGCGACAAAGAGGCACAATCGGCCTCCGCGTTCGGCAGCGTTCGACATCTGTCTCTCTCCTACTTGAGTGAGCGATGCGTCCGCATGGACAGCTGCTATACAATAATACATTTACATGTTTTCGTCAAGTATGAAGTGCAGTGAAAAGTGAATGTGGTGTCAATTGTTTATAGCAACATTTTCTTATGACGTTGCCACGTTCAACTATCGTCAGTCAACCGACTTTACAGACAACCGATTTTTTTACTCAATATAGATCACATGTTTAACTCTTATTGAAAGTGATTTTTTACTATCTTTTTATATAGCTCGAAGAACCTGAAACGAGTAGTATGATAGTAAGGTTCTCGACTAGCAGCCTCGCAGCAACTCTTATTTAAAAATTCCTTTTATGATGCTTATGGATGTAACAGTACAGAAAGATAATGTATTATATTTAAATAATAATATACAATGTAGATAACAGACTTTTTGCTTGTTTATTTGCTAATTTTATATTTAATTAAATAATTACATTAAATATTATGTGTGAACATACTTCCTGTAAAAATTTATCTAGGCACACATAATGACAATTGAGTGTAATTTACTTCATTTAGTCTTAGACATAGTACGGAATTGCACAAAAGCGGGATATGAAACGGCTAATCTTTAGTCATTTGCCGGCAACAGCGACGTAATGGAGTGAACTAATTTCCTCACAGGAAATTGCTTTCCTGGCCAAGTGATACCATTTCCCTAAAAGCATCTGCTCGAGTCGCTGACACGTCATCAATCATTTACTTTCGTACAAACACAACAATACATTATTCCAGTAAATATACTCGCACTTTAATGAACTTGTGTTAATATCAATTAAAATATAATTTACTTCTCCAAAAATAAGCGAAGCAACGGCTCAAACGAATTTTCTAACGCTTATTTTTTATTTAAATGACTAACCAAACTACAGTACGTAGGTCGTATAAATGACATTTGATGAATAACACAGAAAAGTTCAACGATCTCCGCACAATACGTAACGAATATATGCGAAAAAGGCGACAAAGAATTTCTAACTAAATAAATAACACTGTTAGGTTGTTATTTTGTGGCGTGTAGGTATCCAAAGCAAAGTCACTCAGTAATTTAGCTCGGGAGTTTTGGTAAGCTCGAAAGAGAAAAAAAAAGAAGAGGTGACAATATAAATAACAATTTGGCCCACCCCGTTTGAATGTGGTTCGCCTGGATTAGCATAAGAATGCCGCGTCATGAACGCCCACGACCCCACAATGTCCCACGTTGTCTCTTTATATTTCGAATTTAATTTTGATTTACGGCTGTCTATACAATTGTACGCGAAACATTTTTCGAAGAGAATGGAAACGAGCATGTAGCTGACACTCAACGGCTATACTTTTCGTGTTTGATATCCAATACCGCCAAAATTTAATGCCAAAACCAAGTCTGATGTGAGGTCCCAAAATTTTTATACTTAATTTATTTACGTAAGTACTTGGTTTTTATTCCTTCATAAGCCATTTGTTAAAATAACACAAACATCTTTATTTTTATTTCTTGTGACAATAAAAGTGCATAACAAAATTTTGTTACCAATATTCATCTCAACTTTTGCATCTTGCTTACATTAATGGGCAATTATAATTGAAATTTATTTTAATTATATAACACATCACCAACAACGAAAGCGTAAAAGTGTGTTTATACATATTTTTTTTTTGTCTTACTTACAGAATAATCTTGGGCCTAACACCTTAACCCAAAGCACATATTAGTTTAACCTGTGCTCAAAAATAGCGTAAATAGGAACATAATCGTCCATTGGAAGGGCAAAGAAAAAACAAGCTGTTCACTAATTACCTACTACCCTAATGTGACAAGCGAGCACACAGTACCCTTTATAAATTTACGTTGCAATCTCAATTTTTATTACAATTTAAAGTTCATTTACTGACTCGTACGTTTTCGCATCTGTAATAACACGATACTATCAAGGTGTAACAACAACACATATCTTACAAACTTGTTAAAATTTAAGTACCATAAATATGTTAAATTGCTCGTATAACTTGACCCTTTACAGTAATAACTTAATTATTGAAGAGGTACGACGGCTGGAGTAATAATTCACGGCCCACGTTTGGTCGACATAATCAAGAGCTTCTTAGGTATCTTTTATGCAAATGTTAGCAGAAGTGTACCCTCTTGGCTGTAATTAATTGAGGGTAAGAGGTCTTTTGACGTTAAGGTGATGTATATGGGTTAATCAGATCGCCTAATTATTTTAAAGCACCTCTAAACGTTACCTTATTTTATGTACTCTTAAATTATCGGGTGTGAAATGATATGTATTGATAATTAAAATTTGAAAAGAATATTATGCATAGTATATAATATTATGTTTCTTTTTTATCTCCTACCGGTTTTATTTCTAATACGAAGGGATATCTTGATAAGGAGCAATTTCTTCTTTCAATTCGCGATGGATCTTACTTTTTATTAAAAAGGTATTTTTCAAAGTTATAGTTAAAACTAATATTTTCGTAATTTATTTTGTAATGGCAAACTTTAAAACTGTAGTTACCGTTACCGTTAGAGCCTATTAAAGTCCAAAGCTGAACATAGGCCTCCCCCATAGATTGCATCATAGGGGGGATATTTGCCATAGTTGCCACGCTTGGCAAATGGTTCCTCCTGGTTTATTTCCGTTTGTTGCCTTTTACTTTATCTGTAGTAGTAATCATTACAAGTATTAGACTATAAAATCAAAGTGAAAATTAATCTTAAATAATCTTTTTTTTTATAGAATACAAACGAGCGTGCGGCTCACCTGATGGTAAGTGACTACCGCCGGCCATGAACAACCGCAACACCAGGGGAATTGCAGATGAATTGCCGGCCTTTTAAAAAGGAGTAGGCTCTTTTCTTGAAGGTCCCTAAGTCGTATCGGTCCGGAAAAATCGCTGGTGGCAAAAGTATTCCACAAGGAAATTGTGCGAGGAAGAAAACATCTTCTAAATCGCACAGTGATGGACCGCCAATCATCCAGATGGTGTGGATGGTATCGGGAGATCTACCGCGATGTGTGTTCGTGAAATTTGGCGGCTGGGATTAATCCGAACAATTCCTCAGAGCACTCCCCGTGGTAAATGTGAAAGGAAATGCAAAGAGATGCAACATCTCTTTGCAGCGCCAATGAGTCGAGCCGATCGGAAAGAACTCGGTCGTCGACGATTCGAGCCGCTCTGCGCTGGATGCGGTCAAGTGGAAGGAGCTGGCACTGGGGAGCCCCAGCCCAGAGATGGGAACAGTATTCCATGTAAGACCGAACCTGCGCCTTGTAAAGTTGCAGGCGTTGTGCCGGCATGAAATACTGTCCCGCTCTGCTGATCACGCCAAGCTTTTTAGAGGTTTGGCCTTCTCTTCCAAGTGACCACGATACTGCACGTCACTCGATATGTCGACGACTAGGATTCCGATACTGGCTGAGGCAACAAGGGGAGTACCTTGAAACTGAGGAGATACGACAAAGGGGTTCTTTTTAGCGGTAAACACGCAAACTTGTATCTTCTGAGGATTAAACTGGACTAGATTTAGTCGCCCCCAATCCGAGACTTTGTCTAGCAAAGACTCGACTTCAGGCACAAGTTTGTTCCGGTACTCGGCGACGTTTTCCCGAGAGAATCTATGCAAATATTGTTTTTAAAGTATTTTTATAAAATCAGCGAATAAATAACAAGTATATGATTATAATAGAGGCCAACAGATCATAACAAATAAAAATAACCCTCGGAGGTAGCTTCAATAACAGACAGCCGAAGGCTTGCCCATTTCGGTTGCATCACAATGGTGATATTTACAATAAGAAATTAATGTTGAGTTATTAGTGTGGTTTCAAGTAATAAAAGTATATTTATTTATCATTCAAATATTTTATAAGGAACAAATTCAAATGAACAAATTATTTTTAGGCGAAAAATCAATAATACAGATTAATAAAAACAAAATTGATTTATCCAAGATCAAAATAACAAACAAAAAAAAACCAGTGTCAAGCGATCTAAATAAAATAAAATGAATGACGGTGCTCAGTGTTAATACGCATTTAAGATAATATATTTTTCCATACAAAAATAAGTGTCCACCTAATAAATCGTGCCGGACCTTATCGTTTTTCGAGGCACGACAGTAAGAACTCGATAAGAATATGGATCCTTTTCGTCCGTACGTTTTATCTCGCTTAACTTTTTCGTTTACGTTCGGACCAACAATAACCTAATACGGTTAAACTTTTATATGTGTCGAATCGTATTTAGTGACTCGAAGTATTTATGGGCGCGCGCGAGCCGAGTGTAATCGGCGTTGCATCTTAATTTAGTTGTCTTGTATCGGGGGACGGTCGCCGCTACGGGGTTATTTTATAAACTATATTCCAACCTACGGGGATGCTAAAGAGAGCCGCCGTTAGCTGTTGGACTAATGACTGTGGGTAAATGAAAAAATACTTTCATAAAAAACTATACTGAATGGACGGGTAATTAAGCCAGGAGATACTTACCACGTTAACAAACTCCTGAAATGTAATCGCTTCAGTAGTTGCACTGCGCGCTTTGTCCAGAAGTATCTGAGAAAAAATGAATAGTCGGATTATTTCCATTTATAATGATATATTGCTCGCTGGCGAGAACCAGAGAAGCTTGGAGCTTTTCTTACTACGGGATAACCAATGAAATAAGTCAGATCTAAAATACTATTGTCTATGAGGTAGACTAGCGTTCAAATTTCTTTTTCATATTGTGATAAAAGATTGATGAATGCATGTGTAGCGAATATGGCAGAGACTCTCCTAGCTTGGAAGCGGTCATCAGGGTTCTGAGTAATAGAATTACAAATTATTTTATTTCGGAATCTGGGGGAGTCTTTCTGTCGGTTGGGTTTTTAGAATTGTGTTCTTTGTTTATAAAATTTAAGTGTTGGCAGCATAAACGAATTCATCGCCCACTCTTATCCCAAAGGCGTATTAAGAGTTGAAGTACCTAAATAAATGCCACCAGATGGATTTAAACCAGACCAACGAAAAGAACGGTGGCAAAAAACCGTGCTAGGACGTGTAGGTACTTCGATCAACTGCCAGGCGTGCCAAATATGACAAATCTTAATCCATATTTAGCAGTGAACTAATAAAAGGTATGAAATTCACATATAACACTGAAACGATATTCTTTTTGTTTATTCTCTATTGTACATATCACCGTGTGTACACGAGAAAACTACGCAGTTTATGTTTATAATTTATACTTATTATAAAAAATTCAACGTAGAGAATCTTAAATGACACAAATAAAAACGGCGCCTGTTATTCAATGAAGAAAATTTAAAACTTAAACAAATATTTATTTAAGAATAGGTAACTTACTTAATAATCTAATTAGTAATTTAAAAAAACTCTTAAATTCAATAACGCCAAAATGGAGAGTTCTATTATTTATCGAAACTATATCAAAGATAAAATCTTAAAACAATATAGATACTTATTTAGTATTTACCTCATGCTTGTGAGGCGGCACCTGAGCTATAAAATCTGGATTCTGAAGTGTTTGTAGGAAATCAGGCCACGGGATCTCGCCGAAACCCTCCGGATCGAACTGCAACAACATTAACATCATAATATTCACACCTGAAACGACACGGTCACGTACAAAAACAACAAATTGAGATTTCAACGCAGCAACCGAAACGCCATAATGGTGGGTGTCGCTCCACGGCGTGCCATCATTATGTGTAAATTCTGTTATAATCATTGCATCCATTTCCAAAAAGAAGAGGACAAAAACAACGTTAAGCGCCCCTATCTGCAGGCCAGCGTTATCTCAATGTTTCGTACGTGATGACGTATCGTTTGATGCGCGGCGCTACCGCTTCTTTTTATCTGCGTATATATTTTTTTTTCTTATACCGCTTCTGTACATTTTAATCAGTCGGAAACAAAAGAATATTCTCTGGAATTTGTTTCGAAGTCGTAAACGACAATTTTATAAAATATGGGGTGCTTCTAGAATATTTTACGATGGGTCTACTGAAAAGATGCCGGCTGTTTATTTATTGATGTCGTTGTATCAAAATTGTCAAGTAGTGCAACCGATGTGCGGTTGTCATTTTTAACACGCGCTTATTAACTTCGCGTGTAATCTATGTATTCGCGTATATCTCTGTAGATATATAGATATCTATCTATCTATCTATGTAACGGGATCTTTTACCTAATGTAATTTTTACCAACAACGGCCGATTGACTTAAAAATTTGCACTCGTATTAAGGACCAATGACAATACAATAATTTAATAACTTTATCCAAGTATCCTCATCAGGATCACCAGGATAAAATAAAATAATTATCAAGATTATCTAAGCTGATGCTCAGTGCGTGTTGTTTAAGTTTCTTAAACTCTTATATTATTAGCATTGATAATAATAAACATAACGGTTTTTAAAATACTAAGTAAGATTTTTTTCAAGTTTTTGTGTTGTGTGTTTAGTGTTTCAAGATTTTTTTAAGAGTTCCAAAATAATTGGATTAAGAGAATCTAGCACTCCATCTCGTGTCGTGTATGCCATAAAAGGCAATGAACTACTAGGAAGATTTTCATGCTACCGATCCAACGTATTATTTGAGGTGGTTATTCCGAAGCCGATAGAACCACGTCATATATTACACCTGACATAACATACTCAAAAATAATGCAGCACAACTTTGTAGGCGAATTTTCAGAATACTGTTTTCAAGTTAGTGCAGAAAAAGAAATGTTCATTTCATCTAGGATAGCAAAATACATTTTTTATAGAATAATAAGGGTGACAAACGAGCACACAGTCCACCTGATGGTAAGTGTTGCTGTGGCCCATCTTAGTTTATGAATTAAAATGCAAATGCTTTGTCAGCCGTGAGGACTAAGATAGAATACCTCTTTTCCAGTAAAATGGGTCTCCGGTTCTCTACACCCACCATACGAAACACGGCATTAAGCTGCTATTTTACGGTGGTATTCTGTGAGATCGAGGTCCTTTCCCCGATCGAGCCGACCCATTCGTGTTACAACTATACTATTAATATAGCTGCAGCATGGCTCTACCACGTAAAATAACATGAGTTTAGTTCTTCAATTTATGAACGTAACTTTTTCTCAGAACAATAACTAAAGAAGATGTTTTTTTGAAAGAACTTTTTCGTGATATGCACAGATTTATTAACTACTCTTTACCGCAATGACATGTCACCTACATGTCATTGCCGTTTATTATAACAGGGTTTCGGTTTTTTTCTTGGCCTTGGCCAAAAAAAATACGGCAAATAAAAGCAAGCAGCGTTCTCAGCTTCTGTTCGGAGCTATACGATAATTTAAATTTTATTCTTGTAAATACGATTAAAGACACAGTGGTAGAGCCACCCGGCAGCTTTTGCTGTCGTACGGATGGACCGGCTCGAACCGGGGTGGTACCACGACCTCACAAAATACCAGCGTGAAGTAAAAGCATTCTGCATTCGCCTGGTGAGTATCCACGCCCCCAAGCTACCCTACTTTTTCTGAACGTGGATGCTAAAGCTGCCCCGCGTATTCTGGGGGGGGGGGGGAGGTGAAATTCCTACAAATCCCTGCCACGCTTTCCGTGAACTACTGCAATATCAGGGGACATCATATCAAATCTTAAGGCCGTCCACTCATCTGGGGACGGCACAGGCGGCCTTGCTCTTTCTAACCGAGACACAGGTGTCCTCTCCAGCTGATACTTCATATCTCTCCTATCCAGGGTACAAATTAGAACACTCATTTGTGTCCCGGGCTGGAGTTTGCGAGTACGTCGGAGAGGTCATCTGTTTTCGACGTCTCTGCAGTCCGTACCTTCAGTACGGACCTGTCCATCCTATGGCTGCGCGTAGACAGCGAACACCATCCCTGCGTCTACGGGTGCCTCTATAGGTCCCATAGCGGTAATGTCGACACAATCCGCAGAGATCGTGATGCTCGGTGATTTTAACGCCCACGCTGAATGACTTGGTTTCCGTTTAACCGATCATGCGGGTAGATCTGTTTATGACTTTGCCTTGGCATATGGTCTGACACAACTGGTTACTTCGCCTACGCGGATCTCAGATTCGGAGGATCGTGCCCCTTCCCTGTTGGACCTTTTGCTAACCTCTCATTCGGACGGATATCGGGTCTCCGTCAATGCCCTTCTTGGCTCTTCGGACCATTGTCTGATCCGGAGTATGGTGCCACTCACGCTCCCATCGCAGTTGCGATCTGCAGCTCGCCGCCGTGTTTGGCACTATAAGTCGGCCGATTGGGACGAGATGCGGTCTTTTTTTTTTTGCTTGGTTTTGCTTCTCGCCGGATGATCCCAACGTTGTTGCTGATTCTGTTGCTGATTTGGTACTTCAGGGAATCGAATTAATTATTCTATTATCATCAATCGGAGGCAGAACTAAGCCATGGATGGTCACTCCTGTAAAATTGCATCACGCTATAAACAGAAGTGCTACCGCGCCTGGGCTGATGCATCAAAGTCCCGGGATGTAAACACTAGCGCTCTTAAAAAGAAGTATAATTTCGCCACCATGTCCTTCAAAAGGGTTATTGCCAAGTCAGAGCACATCGGCAGAATTGGCGAGAAACTAGTTCGCCTCCCTTCAGGAACACGTGCATTCTGGTCTCTTTCCAAGGCTAACCAAGGTAAGTTTTGTCAGCCATCTTTGCACAGGATGGACGACTCACTGGCCCATAACGCAAAGGAGAAAGCCGATCTGCTAGGCTCTCTTTTAGCTTCCAACTCGACTCTCGATGACGGGGGGAACACACCGCCGACCATCCCGCGGTGTGATTGCTCCATATGCGTAAAGCACTCCTCTCCCTGGACGTCAACAAGTCGAGTGGGGCTGATGAAGTCCCAACTATCGTGCTGAAGACGTGTGCTCCGGAGTTAGCACCGGTTTTAACGCGTCTTTTTCGTACTCCTACTTCCTAGGCGTAGTCTCAAACTCATAGAAGACAGCTTCGATGCACCCGATCCCAAAAAAGGTGACCGCTCAGATCCGTCCAACTATAGGCCTATCGCTATCACCTTCTTCTTCTCCAAAGTAATGGAAACTATTATTAACTACCAGCTCATGCGGTACCTTGAGAATCACCAGCTAATTAGTGATCGCCAGTACGGTTTCGAGGTCGCTCAGCTGGTGATCTTCTAGGTTACCAAACTCATAGATGGGCGGAGGCAGTAGAGTCCAAGGGTGAAGCGTTGGCAGTTAGTTTGGACATAGAGAAGGCCTTCGATGGGGTCTGGCACAAAGCGCTTCTTTCGTAGCTCCTTTCCTATGGGCTTCCCGAGAAGTTGTGCAATAGGATCACCAGTTTTCTTGCAGATTGGAGCATTAAGGTCATAGTAGACGGTGCATGCTCCAATTACAAGCCCATTAACGCTGGTGTTCAACAAGGCTCCGTGCTATCGCCAACGCTATTTCTTCTGCATATCAATTATATGTTGCAAACCGGTAAAATTCATTGCTATGCAGACGCCACCACTGGTGATGCTCTATACCGGCCGTGCCAATATTTCTCGGGAAAACGTCGCCGAGTACCGGAGCAAACTTGTGTCTGAAGTCGAGACATTGTTGAACAAAATCTCAAACTGGGTTGTGACTAAATCTAGTCCAGTCAGGTCTCTTCAGTTTCAGGGCACTCCCCTTGTTGCCTCAGTCAGTATCGGAATCCTCGATGTTGACGCATCGAGTGATGTGCAGTTTCGTGGTAATTTGTAAGAGAAGGCCAAATTGACCTCTAAAAAGCTTGGCGTGGTCAGCAGAGTGGGACAGTATTTCATGCCGGCACACCACTTGCAACTTTACAAAGCGCAAGTTCGGCCCCAAATGGAATACTGTTCCCCTTTCTGGGCAGGGGCTCCCCAGCGCCAGCTCCTTCCACTTGACCACATCCAGCGCAGAGCGGTTCGATTCGTTGACGATCGAGTTCATTCCGATCGGCTTGACTCACTGCCACAACGTAGAGATGTTGTATCTCTTTGCGTATTTTATCGTATCTATCACGGGGAGTGCTCTGAGGAATTATTGTTCGGCTAATTCAAGACGCTCAATTTCACCATCGCACATCGCAGCGAAACTCGCGATACCATCCATGATGGGTGATCCACCACTGTGCGATTTAGAAGAAGTTTTCTTCCTTGCACAACTTCCTTGTGGAATCGATTATCACCAGCGATTTTTCCGGACCGATATGACTTAGGGACCTTCAAGAAAAGGCCTACTCCTTTTTAAAACGCTCGCAACGCATCTGCCATTCCCCTGGTGTTGCAGTTGTTCATGGGCGGTGGTAGTCACTTACCATCAGGTTAGCCGCATGCTCGTTTGCCCCCTCTTCTATAAAAAAGACACGAAATTTTATATTATGAAAATAAATAATAGTTTAAAAAAAACTAAAAACCACTTTTTTGTAGATAACCGAATTAGAAAGGTGAAAATAATTTTCAATAAGTTTAAAATAAGAAAATAGTGGTTAACATACAAATTCATTTTATTGTAAAATAGCGTAAGGTGCTTAATGTCATTTGTTGTAAATATTTTTGTGGATATTTGTA